TCTTTTTGTCTTTTTTTTTTTTTTTTTGAGAAACGGCTCTGCTATGTAGTCCAGTCCAGTCCAGCCTTGAACTCACTGTGGAGCCTCAACTCACAGTGATCCTCCTGCATTATTAGCCTCTCTGCAGTGCTGGCATTAACGGCATGAGCTATACTATACCTGGCCTTCTCCTGTTCTCTTAAACTCATTCCCGTCAGATTTCCAACCTCATCCATCAAGATCATTCTTTTAAGGTCATTAGTAACTTCCAAGTTGTCAAATCCAATGTTTATTTCTTTGTTCTCATTTTACCAACAATGGCCAATCACTCTCTGCATCCTAACACATTTTCTTTTCATCTTCTGAGACAGGGTCTCACTATGTAGTTCAGGATAGCCTTGAGCTCACTTTGTAGCTTAGACTGGTCTTGAACTTGCAACGATCCTCCTGCCTCAGACTCCTGATGCTTTTTAATTTTTTGAGATAGGGTCTCATCAAGTAGTTTACTTTTTTTTTTGGTGGAACTGGGGATTGAACTCAGGCCCTTGTGCTTGCCAGGCAAGCAGACTGAGCCATCTCCCTGGCCCTTCATTAAGTAGGTTTTTTTTTTTTTTTTTGAGAAAGTTTTGTATTTATCTTAGAGAAGACTGCATTCCTTTCCCATACAATTTTTTGCATCATTAAGTAGTTTAGATTGGCCTTAAACTCACTATATAGCCCAGGCTGGCTCTGAACTTGTGGCAATCCTTCCACCCCAGCCTGCCAAGTGCCAGAATTATAGGCATGTGCCCCCACATACAACCTAGTATCTCTAAAGACTAATACAGAGAAGATACCTAGGGCTCCCATCCGGTCCCATAGGTTTAAACCCCATCTTAGAGTTTATGGCTCCTTTGCCTACAGCTATATCCCTCAGCCCATTTATTTATTTATTTTAATATATTCAGTAGAGTCTCACTATGCAGTTCAGACTTGCCGCGATCCTTCTGTCTTCAGCCTCCTAGCGCTGGGATTACAGGCATGAGCCCCCAACACCTGGACTCAGTGGCCAGTCCTGTGCACATGGGGTTCTGGGGCCAGCACAGTATGTAGTACCAAGGCTCGAATCTGGGTCCTTGAGCACTTGGGAGGCTGAAGCAGAACTGAAGTTTGAGCTCAGACTGGACAACCTGGTGAGACCCAGTCTCATCATAAAGTGAGGATATAATGCACTGGGCATACAACTCAGTGTGAAGGCCCTGGCTTCAATTCCCTGTTGGGGCAGTGGGGGCGGGGGAGGAAAGAAAAGAAAAGAAAGTTTAGTATAGAGATTTGGTGCCCTTTTGTTCAGTTTGTTAATTTCTCTCACCCTAAATAAATGTTAGGGCTGGTGATGTAACTCCATGGCACAAGCACCTGTGTGGCAAGTGCAGTGTCCTGAGTTTGATTCCCAGTACTCCTCCCAAGAAATGTTAAAATCTATTAAATGCTTATTCTATGTTCTGTGGTTTGGATGTGGTCTGAATGTGTCTGACAAGGGTTCATATGACAGGAAGTTGGTCTGCGGTGTGGTGATATTAGGAGGTAAGAGGTTATATTAGGGGCCCTGTCTGTGGAAGGAAGTTTTGTGCAGTAGTTCTTTTGGGAATTTGGTTAGTTCTCACAAGAGTATTATGGAACAGCAAGGCTGACCTCTAAGTTGCTCTCTGGCCTCCTGTCTCACCATGGACCCCTCCCTCATGTACACTCCTGCCATGAAGTGAGGTGTGTGGGGGGATCTCTCAAGAGCTGGTGTCGGCCGGGCAGGGCGGTGCACGCCTGCAATCTTAGCACTTGGGAAGCTGAGGCAAGAGGATTGTTGTGAGTTCAAGACCAGCCTGGGATACAAAGTGAGTTCAAGGCCAGCTTAAAATGCAGCTCAAGAGCCTGTCACCAACCGACCAAAAAAAAAAATTAAAAAATAAAAAAAAATGCCATTGCTGTGACCTGGAACTTATATAACTGTGAGCTGAATTTTCTTTCTTTTTTTTTTTGCAGAACCGGGGATTGAACTCAGGACCTTGCGCTTGCCAGAGAAGCACTTATTCCACTGAGCCATCTCCCTGGCCCCTTGAATTTTCTTTATAATGTCATAAGCTCTACGTATTTCATCTTGGTAGTGAAAAATACAGAAATGTATTATATGTACTTTTTTTTATTTTTTATTTTTTCGTGGTACTGGGGATTGAACTCAGGACCCTGCATTTGCATGTACTGTTTTTTTTAGCCTTGGTCTGTATATTAGTTTTCAAGAGCTGTTGAAGGGCTGGTGAGATGGCTCAGTGGTCTAAAGCACCTACTTGGAACAAGCTTAGCGAAGCACAGGGACCGCGGTTCAATCCCCCAGCACCACATGCCAGCGAGCCC